ATACATTTCTCATGTCCGATATGGAGCTGTGGTTCAAATGCCTAAAGATGGCGACTTTGTTTTTCACTTGAGAACCAGTACAAGCTTTGATATGCACGTGTAGAGTTGGGGTGAAAGATGAGTTTGCTAAGACCGAATCGGCTCACAACACTTTTAATGAATGCTACTGACTGAAGTATCATACCCAGGAAGAAATGTGAGCAGAATCAACTCATTTATTCATTGCGAATTCAAAATCATTGACCCGAGGCTCGCACAATCTGCAGCACTATACCCCGGTGTCTGATCAGGTTCGCTATGGAAATTCAACGGGAGTATGCACAATACTTCCACCAATTTTGCCTCCAAGCCCTTAATTTACCAACGCTCAGCTAGTCCCAAGAAATTATTGTGGCAGTTAGAGAGAAAAACATTAAGAGTGGTCAAGCACAGGTAACTGCTGGAGTGCTTGAGCAGCCTTGACAGCTTCTGCCACCTTATAACAAGGAGGACACCGTTTTAACCAGGATTAATGGGGTTTGGAAAACAGTTGTTCTCCACCTTGTTATGGTTTGCTGGTTTCTACGTGAAAACGAATGTTTTCTGTTTTTCGGAGATATATTTGACCTGCTCACACCTTTTTCGAGCGCTGTTCTTCGTTTGGTCGTGCTTTGCACGGCTTTTTAACGTGTAAAGTATGGTTTTATTTGCTTCTGCCACCTTCTGTTGGGAAGAAAAGGGTTTATTTATGAAGAATGAAGCTCACACGCTAGATTATTTGTGGCTCCAAATACAGTGGGGAAGAACTATGAATGCAGCCTTCAATTCAAGTCCTCTTGTCATTGGTTGTAAATTGGGTGGTGAGGGAAATCAAAGGGGAGTGGACGGTCCCTGTGTGGGGCCCTTAATTCACTCTCAAGTGTTCTCCTATGGTGCAGCGCCCTTTTTATAACTAGAGTAACTGCTGCGCGAAGGGGTGAAAAACTGTTTCAATGGGACTTTACTGATAAACTATTGGGAGGTGTGAAATATTACGTGATGTGAATGATAGAAGCGTTATTAAATGCCAGGGACTGCAAAATAAAGTAATTAAGGTGAATTTGGTATACAGCACCTCTCCTCCCACTTCGAATTTACTCACCAGCTTGTACCTAGCAGGAAACGGTTGGTCGGTTTACTGGGGGCCAGATGGAGTTCATTGCTGATGCGCGTCAGGTGAAACGAGGGAAGATAGATAAAGTTTATGAGCATTTGCATTGGAAACGCTTACAACTTGACGTTCTACCGAAAATGTGTATTTGACTGGCGCATGACAATTATATGCGCCGCTTCTTGTGTATTACAATGAAATAGTGGTGTAGCCGAAAAATTCAACTATGCCATGGAGTTAGGTATCTTATACTTTTGATTACAGTGACTTTTTGCCCAGCGAGTGTTGATATGAATGGTATCAGCTCATGGTATATTTTAGGTATTACATCCATGTAGGTGGTGCATTAGTGCACTCGCAAGTTTTAATGCAAATCATCAAGTGACATGGCGTTCGTTCGGGCGCCTAACATTTGCCTGGAGAAACTGTTGAATACAGTGAAACAGAAGGTATGTAGCGTCTTAGAATTATTAGTTTGTTGACCTAAATGAGAAGGTTATTCAACGCCTGGTTGGTGACGCGGTAACACTTAGCTGGCTATATTATGTGACGGGATTCAACACCCCGTAAGTGATCGGTGTATGTTGTCTGCTACCACGATTTACAGAATGTCCCTGAATAGGCATCTGAAGTTTCACATTAATTGCTCCTTTGAAAAGTTAAATACAGTCAGTTACGATGTTGATGCCTTTTTCCTGCCCCACAACTAAAGTGTACGGCAATCTCATCTTTCGGCAGTCTGTGATCATCAGCAACCGAAGGCTTTATATGCACTGACTTCATTTGGACCGATGTTTTCTTTTACTAGTGTTTATTCGTCTGGTTAAGTGATATTGGTGCAATTCGTTGTCTAATACACCGTCTTTCAATATGAAATATATGATATGCACTGAAGTAGACATCCTCAAGAATAAGAGTGTCACCCACAAGCACTTTTTGTTCAAACGACTGTGGACAAGTACTCTTGCTCGCAGTACCTAAGAACAACATCATTTACGGTTTTCCATCTAGTACAATGAAGGCACCAACCCTTTTACCATGAAAAAGGAAATGGGACTGCAAACGAGATTTCATTTTGGGTATATTTTAATGGAAAGCATAAGGAATTTAGGGGACATTAGTCTTCGTTTATATTGGGAAAGTGAAACGCTTACTTCACACTTTAAGAAGTCTTTTAAAGAATTTGTTTACCTAAGTTGCATCGTCAGCTGTGAAGTTATCTCTGAATTTGTCAAGTACGCGATAGCAACATGGCCTCATATTTTGCTTGCAAGAAACGCACCTGCCACATTACTCTGCATAGGATGCTGCTAATTTCTCGGGCACAGTATCAGAAATATGTGACCAAGTCCAAAGCCTGAAATACGTGAGAACTTGACTGGCTGGGCAGTTAGGAAACTAGGTTTCCTTAGAAATGCCGTCCGTCAGCGTAGTCATTCACCTCCAGTTCAAACCGGAATATTGATGGACTGTTTCGAGATTTGGACCAAAGACTATTCCCACGAATAGAAGGGATTACTATTTCTTAATCAACCACATACCTTAAAGTTTACGGTCCACCCGAAATTACACTTAAATACCCCAACGGCATGCTTCACACGACTATCCACCGACTCCTTGCCTTTCACGTGGACAGAATGAATTTGAACCAACTACGTTCATCATAAAACACGACAGTGACCGCCTCCACAACTCATTAACTGCACCCTCAGCCCACCTCTAGCTGAAGGCTGGCTTCGATAGCACTACTTCCCGGAACGCTTCAGTCGAGTCCACCGGGACTATGGTGTTTTTAGAGGCTTGTGATGTGTTACTTAGAAGTACTGATTAGTCACTAAACGACGTAGGGAGAATCAAGTAGCAAACACAATACAAAGGCGTTAACAATTTACGGAGCGCAGTAACATTACACAATCCAGTGTTTCTCACTGAAAGCTAGAAACCCACGGGTTTGGAGCCGTCAGTACATTTCTCAGTATGCATTGGCTAGTGCTTCGGACACGAGCGCCGAATCCAGCTTGCCAACGCGCCAATAAGAGAAAACATAGCAATCAGTTGCGTCCAGTGGATGGGTGATGGTAATTGTGACCTCTTAGGCCACAGAAACTCCATTCAGTGCATCACCTCACCTGCGATGAAGCCCATTCCCGGCAACACCTACATGAATACGACCATATGCAAGAAACTCGTCCCGGTTCTGTCGCTCAACGTCCGGTGTGAACAGAAAAGAGGGCCCCGTTCGTTTCTAAATAACTTTTGGCCACACCGCACCACAAGAGTTGAAATAATGTAATCAGGCGTGTTTCGTGCGAGACACCGGAGACCCATTTTATCCATGGGTACTTATATCTTGCGGGATAACGGACCTAATGTTAGCTTCGACAGTGCTCGTATAGCCAGTTTGCTCGATGTGGGAGTTTAAAACCTGTTGCTTCGCTTCATTTACTAGATTTGCGTTTGCTTACACGACTCTTACACCCAAGTTGCAGCCACACTTCAGTAGACACAAAACTAAGGTGACTTCCACATTGATGCTCTGCAATGTGAATATTTGAAGGTTATTGGGATTTTCAAGAAACGATATGAAGACGCTTGAGAAGCAAGTGAAAAACAACCAGTCAGCCTTCTACCTGTAAAGTGTTTGACAAAGTTTCTCTCCACTGTCTTTGCACAGACAGTCCCCAGCTGCATCATGTAACCACTCAAAATTATCTGCGCAATCCCTGATGAAAGCCCAAATACCAGTTAAAAGCACCGAAGATGCGCCACAAAGTCCCGTGTACTGTAAGGTTTATTCAAGCAGCAAAAAACCCTTGCTTCAGAGCTCTGTCCCGGGCTCAATGCATCATGTGTTGGAACACAGTTTGAGGCCTGCAATGTGGCGAAACCTGGACACAGATACCGGTTTCTCAAAGAAAGTTCGGGGGTGAGCTACCGACTGTCACAGATCGGGAACACGAATCATGCGGAGATGAACTTATTGAAGTGGACATTCACACAACTAGTTGCCAGAAGATACCTGTCTGGTTGGCAACCACTGACAGGACTCTTGCCAACTGAGGTAACCCAAACAAGGCGATAACACCCAAAGTGATCATAGTGGCTGTGTTGGGAACCGAAGTGAAATCACCCACAAGTGGGCAACAACTTGTTATCTTTGGATATGCTTCCACTGAAACATACAATGAACTCTCACAACTACTACTTCTTATGTTGGTGGCTTTAAAACGTTTGAATAGAGGTGCAGTGATAGATGGACTATGTCCTCCGAGTAAAGGCAGAGATTATGTTTAAGGAATGAACTGGGATCCTAATAGTCCTTTTACTTCCTGGCAATCTTTATACCAAACCCCATCCGTTGCTGTAACTACTGCTGTCGTGGCCCAGTCTTCAATTCTTCCGCAACAAATTACCCATTCCGTCTCCCTAGTTTGTTATTCTACATCTTCAGTCACATTATTATTCATCATCCCTTTGTAATTATTCGTATTCATTTCTTCTCAGCTTCTCACCCCCTCTATTCTAATGACCAGCCTCCTTCTATTTTTTGGTGATTTATCTCTCTTTAAGCTCCTTGCTACCCCAGCCAAATGGTTGTCTAGTGAAAAACCGTTTTAAAAGTCGTGTTAGAACTGAAGACACAGGGTCAGTCATACATCTTCCTTCGTCTAACCAACTCAACTTGCTTAGTTCATCACGGCTTCAACCGATAAGTAACTGAATATTACCTATACTCATCTATCAAAGACCTGAAGACATTCTATACTATAAAGGAGCCGACAGAAAGAAACCAGCTGATTTACAATGGATTATGAACAAATGTTGAATACTGTGACGTTAAGTGTAAACGCGCGTTTATTTGAGTACTAATATGAGTAACTGTGATGAACATATTAGAGACCTTAGAGAGCAAATAGAGCTTCCATGTAACAAAATCTGCGCTGACTGTCATCACAACGTTGTCAAATTCGCTTCTTTAACATTTGGAGTGTTTCTTTGTGAGCTATGTGGAGGTGAGTTGCTTCTAAATACTATTATTTCCCCATTTAGTATCACACCAGGCTCTAAATGGGAACATCAAAAGAATTGCCAGTGATAATGAAAACACTCTTATTTGGTCAGACGACTGCGTATTACGATTGAAGAAGTTTGGAGGCAACAAAGTTGTCAATCAAAAATTAGAGTCATCTCTCCCGGTTTATTTTCGTCGTCCGTGGCCTGGAACATCATGCCCCACTTTCCTCCGAGAGTCATTTGTCAGGTCAAAATATGTTCATGAAGAGTTCACCAGTGAAGCTACTGGGAGAGGTGCACAGAATCAATTTGCCTGCTCCTTCAAGTCGGGTGTGTTATTGAAAAAGTTACGCGATTCCACTACATTTTGTGAACGTTTTTTCGAGTTGTCTGTTGAAGGTAACTATCTTCGCTACTATATCAAGCCAGGGGATTCACAACCTAAGCAGTCCTTAGATTTGGAGAGACTTAACTTCACGTTTGTTCCATCTAAAGACTTTGGACTTCCACCACATACTGCACTTGTTCAATTTGTACAAAACTCTTCAACTAGGCATATGTTTGTGCGATCTGAAGACAGTAGAACTATAATCAATTGGTATAATGCCATACGGCTGGGCAAATACCACCGTCTTTGCTTAGGTCTCAGTGGTATGGGTGTCACCTTATCTCCATCTGATTTGAGTGAAAGGTTAACTAGGGATCTGGATATGGTCGGCTGGCTTTACAAAACAGGACCAAAGAAAAATGATGCATGGCGTCGCCGTTGGTGCATGATTTTACACCGGCATTTTCTATATACCGACCATCCTTTAAGCGCATTCGCTAAAGGAGAGTTGTTCATAGGTTCTAATAAAGAAGGATACTCAGTTACAAGTGGCACCCCTGATGGCTGGAGTCGACATAATGGGTACACACTAACTATTTATACATCTTTAAGACCATTTGTATTTTCTGCGGATAAAAAAGAAGAACAGGAAAAGTGGGTCGAAATTATTCGGAAAATAACCAGTATCCCTTTGACTCTCGCGGAACACAAACAAGCGGCTTTAGTTGCTACAAAGCGTACACATGCACTTGACTTCCTCCGAAACTCCTAAATATTACCATATTTTTTAATTTACATGTAAAGTACTCAGCTATTTTCTAGCATTTTCGTGAAAATTTCATATAACATAAAGGTGACTGAGTTAACTCTTTTTGTACATAATTGTAGTGTTCACTTTCATTTTTCATACTTTTGGTTGATTCATCTTCATTTTTATGGTTTTCGTTCTTTGCTTTCCTGCTTATTTTAGTCAGAATACATCAGTGCATCATGACAACAGTGTATATATAGCCAAAAAATGGTTGAAGTTAAAATTTCGTTTAGCATCATGTCTTTATCAGAAATTATTTAACTTATCAATTGTGTTACTGTTTTCATCACTGTATTCGATTATCAACAAAGTTGACTGTCTGAATTTCTGCAACCTCAGAAAGGTTTTGAAGTCAAACTAAAAACTGTGCCTCGGTGAGATTTCTTAAAGGCACTCAACTGGTTCAAAATTCTGAATGCTGTTGCGTCTTGTCTGTCACTGAAAATAGGAGTTGGTTGACTTTCTTATCAAAATATCTAACTGGTCAACTATTGTATCCAGGACAGAAGCATATTCCTGTACAGGAAATATGAGCTAGCAGAGATGACCAGAAGAGTGAAGTTGAAATCTTGTACACAAGTGAATCAATTCAGTTTGCAGCTGTGTAAGGGAAGAGAAGAAAGTAAATTACTTATGAAAAATTGTCTAGAATCCTGAAAACCGTAGGGAGCAGATAAATCTGTGTCAGCGTGAGTGGTTTTGAGCTATAGTGTCACTTGTCTTAAGTCACGTAATCTACATTTACCCATGTGGTTATAAACCTCACACCTTCGTACTGCCTCTTCGTCTGGCCATTCACGGATTTCTAAATACATGAACTAAATTCGGCTATTATTCCGAGCTGAAGAAGATAATGGCTTGAAATGTTCAGTTAACACCCGAAACTTCTCATTTATCACATGCTTATCTATTTGACTGAACTACCTTCTCCATCTGAATGTTAACATTGTTCACACGGTGAGCACACCATTCACAGTTGGTTTCAAGTAGGAACTTATTTCTAAAAGCCCTTCACATCCCCGCTTTCTTCACTTCCATCGACGGAGTCTTAGCTGTAGAATAGGTTGGAGCACAATGACATACAGAACACTCATTTTCTGATAGGTGAGCAGATACTCGTCTAGTGCTTAAGATAGAGTGGGTTGGCGGATATCGGACGAACAGTTTGTTTCTGGTCTGATATTGCTTCAAAAACCAACCCGCTGAGGCTGATACAACTTACCAGGTAGATGAAAAGGTCACAAAATCTCATCACACCACCTCTTAATCGAGGAGTTGATGAATACCAGTCATGAGACACCATTCTTCACCTGAAGAGTTGCATTTACTTTCAAATTTTCTCTTCAGTCCTCCAGAAGACTCTTAATTTTTTATCGTCTGTGCTTGGCAAGACTAAGTATTCTGTTCACTTAAAGTTAGCCAGGAGCTATCTGTCTAGACAGCTAACCTTTGAAAGATTGGAAGTACCTAGGATCACATCTGGCAAAACGTCTGTGACAAAGATTAATAAGAGTTACAGGAATGAGCATCTGTGGACATTGCTACATAGGAAATAACTTCTTCGTAATTCCTTACATGGTTTCATGAGGTCTTATAACGAGCCTTGATTCGCACAAGGCACTTTGTAGGCACTACTTCCACAACTAGATATCACTACATAACCTCTTATTTGTCGTGAGTGAATGCCATCTACTGACAAAAGAACAATGTCAAATTTTAGAACCGGTATTTGTGCATGTGATCCAAAACCTGTGTAAAGGTGGAAATCTGATTTCTTTACTGTTATTTAGTTTATAAATCCGTTTGATTTTCCTAACGTTGTTGTCCTCGAGTTCCGTTCGGGGGTTGGACTAATACGATTCCCACAATCCATAGTGCAACTTTAATTAGACTGAGAAAAGAAGGTTCCCCTTCTCTCTTACGACTTAGAATGGTGGGCAATTTAAACTTGTTTGACAGAACTACATCCTATTGACATACACTAGCTGGTTTATTGATTGCTCGAAACAGTAATTCCACATGTGCAAAAGCAAAACATTTTAACTGGAAGCCGTACGATCTTGAAGCTTTCTATCCTTTGGTTTGAAGCAGCCCTATAAACATCATTGAAGGTTGGCAGTAATATCCATATTACCTTCAGTTAACTGAAGTGTGTTTACAAGTCAGTTAGGCTGATCTTCTAGGGGTCCCACCTTACTTTTTAATTGCCTGTGATGTGATACTATGAGAATTCTGCTCTCTTCAATTACAGTTTCGCTGACGAAAGTGTATTTTGCACCTACTGCTTAGAAGCGTTCAGTTAGTTGCTTAGCAATGTCTGGCATTGATATCCACTCTTTCTCCTTTGCAAATGTCGATCACCGCTGCCCACAAGCTTGCTAAGACTTTTAGTAGCTTCACGTTTAAGCTATTTCCACTCCTCATCATTCATTTCGGATGAGGCTGCCAAGGCCCAACAGCTTTTACTAAAATTTGGTTTCAGACTTCTAACTTTCATCACTGCATTTATAATAGATTGAATATGTCATCAGATTTCGCTGGAGTCAGAACGGCTACCGTGTGCACATAAATGATTAATTGACTCGAAATAAAGATGGGATATTTATATCTCTCAGGAAGCAGAAAGAGGCTTTGAACCTTTAGTCCTCCGCATTTTTAAAGTACACTGACATACTGGTGTGAACTTACGTATGATCAGGGTCTAAACAGATAAACCTAAGGCACTAATTATGCTACATAGGTAGTCAGCTGGGTAAATCCGATACTAGTGAGGTTTAAACCCGTTAATATTGGCTGAAAAACCACAGTGTTATCTAGTAAGCCGCTATAGTGAGTTCGATGATATCTTGCTTGAATGATTGCATATTGCTACAGTGTGATCCTTTTTTACAGCCTCTCATAAACCAAATAGTGAAAAGCAGATTGAAATCGAAGAATTTATTGACCACTAGGAGACTGAACAGCAATGATTTAAAATTATATGGTATCTTTAACATTTCTATGGTGTCGGTAGCAATAGCTAGTAGTGATATTTTAATTAACTGCCTAATAATAAATTGATTCTGTCGTATGCATTCGAGTAAATATCACTATAGGCTATCAGAATTTATACCACTTCAAATAGTTCGGATTATTACAAAGTAGATCTGGTTGAAAATACTTTTAAAACCAAACAATCACCATTTTATGCAAAAGGAAGTAGTTCCCATTTAGGCTGCCGTATTTTCTGTTGTTCGCTTTACAAAACCAGACTAATGAACTCATCTTTCCAGATAAGTTTCAAAGTGCAGTTATCTTGATATTGTCATTGCTACCATTCTAATGTAATTACATAAAGTAGTGAGTCAGTAAATCTAGTGAAAATAGTGTAGAAAGCTGAGAAATTCTCAACTGTTTAGGGCTGAAACCTGTTTTTGTTGGTAGGAATTCAAACTGCGACCTGGTTATCTTAGAAAAATTATAATGAGGGATAAGGCGAGAACATAAACATTGAGAACATGGTTGTTGCGAATGTCCTGGAAGGAGTTGAGCACTGAGAATGGTTTAATAACTACAAGAACATATATGTATATGTGTATAGACACAATGAGATTATACTGAAATATACTCTAATAATGGAAGGTGTATGAAGACTATTTTAAATGTGATATAATCGGATAAATGTCAACCGCAGTTAACAGTAAATACTCCTGGCTACTTATGTGGGGATTTGGATGAGATCGTGTAGTTAAAAGCTTTGAGTAGCCGACTAAAATTCAGATCATCTGCCTTTAAAACACACTAGCTTATGTGGAGTTCTAACAATGATTCACTAGTCAGTTTGGATATCATTAAGCTAGGTAATTTACATAGCATTAGTTTTATGTGGCCTTCATTTTAAAAGCTATTTTAGTCATTTTGAATTCATCGAAGAATCTGTATATGTCTTGAGATAAATTTAAGTAAAACATTCTAAGGATCATTATTGTGAGATATCATTTCATAAATTCTGTACAATTGCATACCAACTAAAATGGTTTGCAGAAATGAATTAACCGAGGTGGCTTTCATTTTGGAATGAAATCAGGTGGGGGATCATCCAAGAAGTAGGGGCACTGAGGGGGGTTGTTTCTCTCACTTAGGCACTCCTCACCAGTACACACCGATGACCACATGAGGGGTGTAACCCAGAACCGTTAGGTCTCACTGAAAGTCCATTACTGTCCAGCCTATCGGCTGAAATATAAGGGTTCACTATTTGAAACTCCTAACACAGTGACAAAGGTAAACCAAATCGAGAATGAAATGGATGTCCAACAATGACACTTCATTATAATCGGACTATATAGTGAATTGACGGCAATAAGAAAATCTGGGGCATCGGGATCCAACCCAGTCATCATCAACATTAGGATATGACCAGGTATTACAACACAACGGTCCAAGTTGCCACATCTCATATCAGCACATCAAGTAACAGAGTAGTCAGATGAGAGATAAAGGAAGAGAGAAAAATTCGTTAGATGTAGTAGAGAGCAATAAGAGAAAGGAAGGAAAAATGAGAAAATGGTGAATTCATTATGGCGGTTAAGATGAAGATACCATGTGGATACATCTGCACCACTGAGATCTTTTCCAAGCCAGTGGCTGAGCAGCATAGCTGTCACCACAAGAACTGACGGTTATGGGTCTGATCACTCGCGGGAGTCCTCAACTGAGGAGTTTGGAATTAGCACGAAACGTGTATTAGGGCTCCTAAGTAGTCAAAGGGTACTCCAAGGATGTCAATGCGTGATGAAAAGCGCTTTCAAAATAATAAGTTCCTACGAATCAGGAAGTGAATTTTCATAGACCGTTTTCTCTTTTACACTGTGAATCTGTGCACATATGTATGTGCATAGCAGGTGAGAAAATGACTTGGAGTTTAACAGGTGATTGGCTTGATTTTCAACAACCCATTAGTTACTGACTTTATAGTATAG